CAATAATTTCAGCTTGAAAGTGTCTATTTTAAATTCTAACTTTCAGTAAGTTGATGGTGTCAGTCTGTATAAGGACAGGCTACGGGATAGCGAACAGGCTTTCCATTTCCTGTTGGGGAAAGAAACTTTTCTCTACTGCACACCGTTCAGACCGGTTATGGGGCCCACCCATCCTTCTATCTAACTGGTACCAAGGGCTTCTTCCCCGGGGGTAAAGCGGCTGCTGCGTGAAGCTAAATACTCCTCATCTCTATCTAGTGGCGAGGTCAAGAATGATGGAGATGCATCTCCACTCCCCCATACTTCTTCATGTCGTGGTGTTTAACCAATTAAGCATAGGATCAAATTTTCTTTAGAGAAGTACATTATGGTATAGGGCAATGTCTGAATTTTATTTTAATAGTGAAGAGAACTAGTAAAGCTCTGCTACTATGTAACTAGTCCATGAATTTGAGTTGTAGGTTATGTAGCAGTGTTTGCACTGTCGGTAATGCAGCTCAATCCGCTCGATACTCAGAATCAGGACCTTCTAATTTACTAAAATGTACTAAAATAAAAACGACGGAGTACGCGATAGGGTAGTTTGTTGAGGCACTATGCAACAAGCCGGAAGATCACGGGTTCGATTTCCGATGAGGTCATTGGATTTTTCAAAAGACCTAATCCTTCCAGTCGCACTATGGTCCTGGGTTCGACTCTGTCTCTAATAGAAATGGGTACCAGGAATCTTCCTGGGGTGTAAAGGATGGCCAGCGCGTAAGGCTGAAAATCTCACCGCCGTCAGTGAACCGATTGTCTAGAAAATGTGACAGCCTCGACGTCTCACAACCCTATGGTCTCCATGACCTGTTACAGAAATAGCTTTACTCACTTCATTAATAAATATGACAGAGAAAAATAAATACATCTATCTCAGTATGCCATTCAATTTTAAAGCGAGTGTTAGAAATCAAATATTGACTCGGTTTCATGCGACTTTACTATAAATATCACATAAGACCATCTACAACATGAGTCAAGTGAAAAGGCTATCATATTTCAGTACTTTGGCGGAAGCTGTATGTTTCTCCAAGATCTATTAGAATATGTCATTTCAAGCACTTAAATCTGTGGTCCTAGTGTCGCTCTAACTTTACAGGTTTTTATGTCTGCCTTGTTTGTGTTACGGATTGTGAAAAATTAAAGAGTATGGGATTGGAATGACTTCTATTGGCATAACGCCCATATAAAATTTCGTTTATATGCGTCAAATATTTTAAACATAGAAAGACCACACACACACACACACACAAACAGTCAAAATTTGGATATCATAAGTAACTGTCTCCCATAACGAGAAGAAGTATTGTAGAATGTTTCCATCAAGAAAGCAGTATTTCCATTTTGTGTTCAGAAGGTTTCGGGCTCAAATTATAGTCTCGATTATAGAGACTATAGACGGTGTTTGGGTCAGCAATTGGATTTATGGTGTTTTTACAACTCGTAACCGCAAGTAAGGTTTACGCTGTCACTGTTCTATACATTTCACAAATCACTATAGGACACACTAGGTCTACTAAGCCTGTTACACTCTTCACTAGCCGTTGCTTGATAGCCGCTTCCAACCGCAGACTTTCTCCTTCATCTGGGTTACAGGACTCTCCGAGGCCTCAGTCACCACGTTCTCACAAGCAAAAGCTCGCAAAGACCGAATCTCAACCGTTTTCTAACTCACTGCAACTCAAAATCAGAATCATAATTATGTTACCAATGACGGTCAGTCGGCCAGTCTGTCTTGGTGCCAAGCCGCATCTGGGGTCCAAGAGCAGATTTTTGTTACTGTCAGACATTTGCCGGGTTGTTGTTGTGGGGCGCCGTCTCTGACGAGAGGGCAAGTCTGTTGTTTACAATTGCTGCTAACCCTCACCAGCACAGTAAAATTTACCCCTTTCAAAATCAGTATTACATGTGATCTATATTCACAGGTTTACATGCCGGCATTCTACATAGTCACTTGTCAAGATACCGGTTCCTTTGTGGACATCTACTATTTACAGTAACTGCAATTCCTAAATTGTACTGCTTTTAACATCTCGGCACGTACCGCGTAAAAACACCGTTCTTCTGTTGCAGTTCAATTGTTACTTAGCGATAGAATGACATATTCCATTGTTGCGTGCACGGCCATCAACACGGGCTGCGCAGAAAAAGCCAATACTGTGTTTTTGTTTACGGACCGCTGCCTAGTAACGGCAAGTGTTGTTACCTCACAATCCTTTTTCTTTTTATTGCTAGTGAGGTGGGACTAAGTCCCTTGTACTGCGGCCACTTCTGGCCTATTTTACCAGCCCAAGATGATAGGTGAGGGTGATTGTGGAGCAATTGGTGGAATGACGATTGGCAAGGGAAACCGAAGTACTCGGAGAAAACCTGCCCCATCGCCCCTTTGTCTACCACAAATCCCACTTGACCAGACCCGGGATCGAACCCGGGCTGCCGCGGTGGGGAGCCAGCGATTAACCAGCTTGCGCTATGGCGAGGCCCCTCACAATCCTTACTTTGAGCGAATATTCCACTTCACGTTGTGATAGCTTTGTTCTACCTCATTTTTAAGTCACTGTTCACTAATCATTCTACCATTCGACACTATATAGTCTAAAATATTGACAGCGTCCTTAAAACAGAGTATAAATGCACGAAGAAACATGGTATATTTGTTAAATGTAACTTTGTTCCTGTGTCCAGCTAATTAAGCCATTAAGCAGTACACCATAAAGATGTATGGAGAGTAAAAGTATTATTCCGCTGTTATTGACCTCGACATTAGAGAGAGATGAATGGTCAGCTTCGCGCTCCTGCCGCTTTACCCCAGAAAAAGATTCTCTAGTTCCAATAGGCTTGCTGGTCTCAGAGTTCATCTGGACGGTGTGGAGAAAAGAAAAAGCTCTTGCCCTTACGTCAATCAAAACTTGGTCGTCCAGTCCGTAGCTCTTAAGGCGCGTCCACATTACTCGTGCTCGTGCTCGTGCTCACCAGGCTTGTGCTCGTCGGGAGACTCGTCTGGCTTTTACTTGTGCTCGTAAATCTTCGTCCACATTACTTGAGTTGCTCGCCAGGCTTCGGCGCGTGAGGATCCGTATATTTACTCGTAGTGTGTATAGGCTGTAGTCGTATTTTAATTTATTTAATATAGATTTTAACTTAAAATTTTAAAATTTGCTTGTCTCGTGACTTGTCATATTGTCCACATTACTCGCGAGCATAGCGAGTCACACGAGCAAGAGCACGAGTAATGTGGACGCACCTTTAGATATACCGAGTGAGCTATTTGGGCTTCCCATGGTATAATTGTTACTCCACTTAACTGAATTTAGAACGCCAATGCCGAATCCTGTCAAAAATCCTTAGACTGCATGAAAGCATGGATAATTTACGGTAGAACGAGTCGGTATATTGAGACTAACGTTTCTATGAATCATACTGCACACCTTTCAATTCATGGCATGTAGTTCTTCCTCTTGGCGCGTCCACATTACTCGTGCTTGTGCTCGTGTGACTCGGTATGCTCGCGAGTAATGTGGACGATATGACAAGTCACGAGACAAGCAAATTTTTAATTTAAAAACTATAGCCAATAAATTAAAATACGACTACAGCCTATACACACTACGAGTAAATATACGGATCCTCACGCGCCGAAGCCTGGCGAGCAACTGAAGTAGTGTGGACGAAGATTTACGAGCACAAGTAAAAGCCAGACGAGTCTCCCGAAGAGCAGAAGCCTGGCGAGCACGAGCACGAGTAATGTGGACGCGCCTTTGCCCCCACTTTTGATCATAGGGCTGATTTCTCAGTTTCTTGATCTTTTACAGACGGCAGGATTCCTTGGACGGGTGATCAGCTCGTCGCAAGATCTCTACCTAAACTCAGGACAAAACGAACACAGAATAAACGCACACAAACACTAAACATCCATGCCCTGAGTGGGATTCGAGCCCACGATCCGGGCTTCTGAGCGAGCGAAGACAGTGCATGCTTTAGACCGCTCGGCTACCCTGAACATCATGGCATGTAGTGAGCGTGGAAAATGGGAAATGAACACAAAATCTTGATTAGAAAACCTGAAGGAAAGAGAGTAAAACGTAGATGGCTAACAACTAATTAAAATTGGAGGGTGCTGACTGGAATATTCTGGCTCGGGGCACACACATCAGTGGCTGGTTCCTACGGACAGGAAATGAACGATCTGGTTAATAAAATACTAGGAAGTTCTTGAGTATTTAAGCGATTGTAAGCGTTTCTAGGACTCAGCTCCATGGAGTTAGTAAGTCACGACTTGAGTTCTGTTTTGTTTGGTCTATCACAGTGTTCTGTTGAACGCTCTGCGCACATAGACCTATTAGCATTTACCATAAGAAGCATGGTGACCCATATAAGTACAAGTAGAGGACTAACATTCTACTCTAAAATTTTCACTTTTTTTTTCCTCTGTTACTTTGTAAGAGCCTTGTCTGGATAATAAAATTCATATAATAAGTGTGAGATTTATGAAGGGTACAGGGATCTCTATTTTTCCTGAAACGAGAACAACAAAATATTTTTTGTACCTTCCTTGCTTCAACGGACAGGTAAGGATTGAGAATGAATAAGCTTCCCTCTTTCTTAGCAGCATTCCAAATGCTTTAAGAAAGAGAATTTTTGGGAAGTGTATCTAGGCTTTTGGCGAGGCGAAACAATATCTCACCCGCTATTACTGTCACAAAATACGATGAAATAATATCTGAGATTTCATCTAGAAACTACAATACAAAATACGCTTTCACTTAGGGGAGGACGACAGAGAAGAACATTTTGCCTAGTTTCGAAAAGCTTATGCGAACCTGTGTACATTGTATAATACACGTTTATTTTCTTATTTTACAAGCAATATTACGTTGAGCGCATGCGGTCGGGGAAGGGGGAACGCTGCTTCACTGCAGTGGAATAACTGTACCTCGCTCATTCTGTGTCTGGGTCAGGAGGCGGTCGTATAAAATGCTGCTTAAGAGCAGGGCACAGGGGGGTGGGGGTAGAAGAGGGGGCAAGAAGGATGGGACGTCCATTTGTGGAATATACATCTCTGAAGCATATATCGGTAGTAGGAATAACAAGACTAGCCAAGACAGGTGTATTGCTTCTGAAGACTATCATCGTCCTAGACCACAGTGGAGAGACATAAACTCACGACCCCTCATAATAGATTCTTTATTTCGTCGGCAAATTAAAAAGAATCGAAGCGCGAGTATTCGAAACTGGTCCGTCGAAATATAAGAGGTGCTCTGAAAGTGCGACGCTCTCAGCCCATCGAAGGGTAGTTTGGGGGGATATTGAGGTATGTAAAGTGTGCTAATTACAAAGTGCTATGTGCTTTTATTATTTATATATATATAAATATATATGTCACATATAGTGACTGTATAGTGTAACTCATCATGTGGTATTATGTGAGCGAAAACTCTTAAGGTGAATGTTGCTAAGTGTCACTTTATCGCTAAAGGCGCCGGGATTTAAGACCATCAGCAACATATGCTTATCGACGTGCTATTCCTTACGAACATATCTTTTAGTAAATTGTCTGGTTTATATAGATAGTATGTGTCAATATGTCGGTTCTTAGATCGTGTACACATCTCCCACGGAGTCGAGGCGCTGTGCGTCTATACCAATAAGGCTGCAAGGATAAATATTCTCCTGTTATATTCTCATTTTAGTTGCAATTTAGTCTTGTATCAGTCTACATTCATTAGTGTCCCCGAAAAACCTTGTCAACAAATTCGGATTAGTGTAGTCCAAGCAGTTATAGACCATATGACATGATGTCTATCTTCACGCCTAAGAGGCTCTCGACAGCCTATCACAGCAGCTGCACTTGACAGCACTGAACGCCCATTAGTAACGTCTCAGTACTGCAGAGTATGCCTCGGAAACACGATCATGATCATAACTATGCACAATGTTACATAACACTTCCTACTTGGTCACTTGTTAGACAGTCAGGTTTAGATTACAATCTGAGATAGTAATCTTTCTTTTCGCTTCTACGGCCAGAATTGTTCTGTAGTTCACGCAGTCTCTGTATGGGCACCGGACTTCTTACCCTGGGGATAGGGCGGCTAGATCATGAAGGTGCCCATTCAACTCCATGAAGTGCAGAATTTAGTATGTGGTACTAATATTTGCCTCCACATCAGCTATATGCTTCCATAGTTCGGTGCTTAGTTAGTTAGTTAGTTAGTTAGTTATTTAGAGAGGGTGGGTTTCCCCATGCACCGCGACCAGTTTGTTCTATTGTGCTTCCCTCTGTGATATTCTACCAGTCTCTATACCCTACCGACAAATGGTGCGTACCATCAGTCCCGCCGAGCAAGCGAGTTCGGTCACTTGCTTAGCGTTGTCTATAATGCTTCCCCCATCTATCAGAGGCCTTAGAGACTATTGTTGGGCGGGAAACGTCCTGGAATTTGGCTCAGTGAGGTTCTTTTACGTGCCGTAAAGTTACGACACTGGACACACAGCTTAAAGTCCCTCCCAGAGGACTTGTTCCCTGAATTTTTCCGCCCTTAAAAATTCTACGACCTCCGCCGGGTATTTGAACCCGCGTACTACGAGTCATGAGGTGGGAACGTTACCTCTAGACTACTGAGGCCGCTTTAGTGCGGTGCTTAGGCGCAGGAGAGGTTTGGAGCAAATTTAATTTAAAGTTATTTGATGTGTTCATTCGCTATCTATCACTGTCAGAATTTTTAGAAATATTCCAAGCACCTTTTTAACATCAGTCATCACCATTCGTTTTGAAAGTGGAACTAATATTTTCACCCACAAATTGCCCCAATCAGAAGTAACCGCTCTACGTTTCCCGGAAGGGGCGCAAACTGGATCTGAGATCCATCCCGTCTCTTACCCAACTGGTAACGGGAGTTATGTCCTGGGGAATAAGGCGACTGGGACGTGAAGCTGAGCAACCATATTCATTTCGTTTGAGGTTAAAGAAGTAGGAGCTATACATCAGCGTACCTTATACGTCTTCATAATGTGGTGCATCATTAAGCTTAATTTAACATTTAAGTCATGAATAGTAGTCATTTAATTTTTTAAATAAATTCTCCATTATGTTTTCTCCTTGTTGATATCCATTAGTTTGCAATTGAAATGCAATGTACAAATGAGTATATGAATTGTTTCAANGGAATGAAACGGTCTCAATTACCTTAATTACATGTACCTTAGAAAGACTACGGAAATCGGTCGGAAGAGTCAAAGTCTGGACAAACCTGGACAAAACGCGATGATTAGAACATTAAAAAAAAACTTAATTCCACCTGCTGTTTCAAATGGGACTGAATCTTCTGCTGTCACGTTGAGGAAAGAAAGCAGCTAGAGGGTGTCTGAGAAGAAACTGTAAGATAGTGATAAGAGACTGGAGAAATTACATAATGAGCAGATTATTAGTAGGGCAATATAATCGAGGAAGGAGAGGCTAATGAGGAATGCGTCACGTATGGGGGTGAATACGTACAGCATACTGGTGTAAAACCTGAAGGGAAGAAAGAACTTGGGTGAGACCTAGACATAGATGGATAGATAATATTAAAAAATCTTAAAAACATAGGGCAGTAATGTGTGGACTGTATTTATTTATCTAAGAACAAATATTATACTACCAACGGATTTTTAGACACAGCATTTAATTTTGGGGTTCCGTAAGAGGCGGAGCATATTTTCTGAAGTAGCAGACGGACTATTGCCTTTTCAAAAAGAGCTCTGTTCTCTGGAAGTGCATGTGAAGATCAGACTATAGCTCGCATGAAATGGGTGACTGGGTAACGCCTGACGTGCCGACTGTGTGACTAGTCACGCAAGCTCTGATCCTCAGGCCTAAGGCAATGAATCGCACCTTTTACTTAGCAGTATATTTCAGATTCGAGCCCACTGAATGAATTTCGATTTCATCTTGTTTTGGGACTCTAAACCAATATTCGTTGAAGACATGTTTGTCTATATTGATGAAATGTAAGCCTTGTTTTGTATTAAGGACAAATCGCACTGTAATCATTTTTCTCAAGAAAGGCTCAGGGTAAAATTTTCAGTATACGGCACTCAACCTTTATTAGGTGAAATATTTTTGACATGATGAATAATTGAAAAATATAACGACAAATACTTGTTCTTTATGGCCCAGTATGAATAGTTTTCAGTTTCCATTAGATATAAATTAACCTCAAATCCCACGAGACCCATGCGAAATTTCTGGAGAACATATCGGGCAAATAAATTTACTCAGGTTTATAGCTCTCCTTTCCTCACTCGTCCAGCACAAATTTGGATTTAGTGGCCAGTCTGCATGGCAGTGTGGATTAAAATCACGAACGGAAGTAGCGAAGGGGGAAGGTAACACCGCCCGTCGATAAACATGTGCGCATATACAGAGTAGGTTGTTTATTGTCAAAACCAGGTATGAGCTAGACTGAGAATGAAAACAAAGTTTTGTTTGGTGGACACCGTGCAAAGTAGCCACTTGGGTCACGAAGAGGTAACTCGACGGATGTATTCTAGAGAAGTAGGTGAATGTGATATGAACCGTACTGAATTGCTAAAGTCCAGTTGTGGGGATTGTGATGATGGTATTAATCAATTACGCTATTAAAGATGAACTAGGAATATTTATTGAACAATTATATATCTAAACACTTATTAGCAAGAATTTCCTCACCCAGAAATTATTGAGAGTATTTAATTCGAAAGTCAAATTTCTCCAGATTCCAGTTGTATCTGGAAGGCCTGTATTTCCGTCTTCGAATCTCCATGAGACTTCATGTTGAACTCAATGTGACGTTACTTTAGAGAATGCTGTCTTGAAGTTGCCTTATCGCATTGCGCTCTGTCATCAGTATCGGCAAGGTTAATTACATTCATTAAGAGTTTTTAACGTAGTCAGCTAGTCTGTAGGTCACCCGGTAAATAAAAGTACTGTCAACGCCCACTCACCCTACCTGTAACAGATTTTCTGTAGTTGAAAAATGAACACATGGTACTCGTAAATTAATTAATTAAGCACCACGCCAGGAAGACGTATGGGGGAGCACAGGCATAGCGCCACTATTCTTAACCTCAGTACTGGATGGAGGCGAGTGGTCAGCTCCATCCCCTGTCGCTTTATCTCACGGGAAACAGCCCCCTGGTGTTAAGGTATAGGATGATGGATGTGCTCCATAGCTGGTCTGAACTCTATGGAGAAAGAAAAATGGCTTGCAGATGGCTACATAAATACGCAACAGAAAACAACAACCAAAAAAAAAAGCATGGAAACCAATTAAAATCAATTATATTGTTACGTGTAGGGGTGACTTATGAGAAAAGAGTTTTGGATTGAAATGATTGGATTTATTGCACCTTGTAGATTTACACGCTCAGGACTGCAGACAATATGGTGATAGCGTTGATCTACGCACTTTATGGTTCATCATTGCACAAACACTAGGGTTCTGTCTTCACTAGTCGTATCCTGGCAACAGATTTATCATACCCGTAGTCTCACTGTAACACATGAAGTCTTCTTGATATAGTCTAATTTGTCTTTTGCCATTATTCTGTAACTGCCAATTCCGAAAACTCGACTCAGTTCAATTCCTCATATACTGACAGGCTGGCGCCCCGAAACTCGAAGCATCGCTTCCGACAAGTCTGCTTCGTCGCGTCTTCCGTGTCTTTTTATAACCCCTCGGCAAGGACCAGGCAGAAAACACAACCTCTATTGTTAAGGGGGCGTGTTTTCTGGTTCGTTAATATCTTTCTATTGTTGCGTGTTCGTGTGTTGCGGGAATGTGTTTACCGAGCCGTTGCCTAGCAGTGGGTATACACGTAAAAACGTCTCAATTTCGACATTTGGAATGGCTTTATTTGACGAGGAACTGAGATTTCTGCAGTAAAATAAGTAAATTTATTGTGTTAACTGTTTAAATCTCTTTTAGGCACATTGAGGAAAAAAAACGACTCTTCATGCAGTAAATTACTTAACAGTATCAGTAGTGTTCAGCATTCAAGTGTACTTGTAACCTAGTAGGCTGTTCAGTGATATCAAGTGATCAATGGAATGTTATAGACCTACTGCAGAAGTGTATCCACATGGCTATGTGTGATTTACCATTAATGCTATTTGCATCTGTCCGGTAAATTATAATGCAGTATACAGCTTGACCTACAACATTGCAATGCATCATAAAAGAGTCCGGTTTATATACATAACAGACAAGACTGAGGCGAAGTTACTTGTGGGGTAATGACATAATCTTTGTCTTATCTGTTGGGAAGAGCCAGTGGAAAGTCACAAAGTAA